CGTGATGGGTGTTGATATCTTCTTAATGGCATCAAGAGATGCAGACTATAATCCCTAGATGAGAAAGCGACAGCAGGTCAGGCTGAAAATTATTCGGCATTAAAAAAAGTTCAAATTCCTAGTTTCATCGTGTTAAAAATCGGAAGGCTACCGAATTAGTACAAGAAAGGATATTTTAAAACATCCAGTGTGGTTTCTACAGACGGTTGCAAAGAAGTGCATTCTATATTTGGCATTTTAAACTGGCTGAAGTATATTGGGATTACTTTGCGCAATTACAGCACGTATAAAATAACCATTCATAGTGGTAAACGCATTTCATAAGTTTACTTTACTCTTAATGACATTGGTCTATGACTATTTTCTCGCAGATACAATTGCGTGTTTCTTCGTCGTTGTCATCCAATGAGTCCTGGTGCTGCCGACATGTGCTGCTAAGGGCATCTATGGCGTCATGTCTGGCAGTTGCTTTCAAAACTTGTATTTGTTCCTAGTGGGAATTTATTCAACCGACGAAATTCAGTCATCCTCCAGCTGTTGCCCATCATGCTGATAGGGCTTCTTGACGAGGACTTTGTCCATCGACTGCTAGCGATACGAACGATGGTTTTTCCACCTACTCTCACGTATAGAGAGGCGGAGGGGGACTTGTCAGAGGGATTATGTTCCCTGTGGGCCTGCAGGCGGGGGAGGACGACGCCAGTGTTCTTACACCTACCCATATTCTGTTCATTTAGCACTCGCTCCCTTGTAATATGTTCTGTTTCCACATGGGCACTGAATTAAATATAAATAAAGTATTTGCCTGTCATCCGTGCACTTGCAAACGGGTTTTGAGGTGGGAGACGGAAACACCCCACCGTCTTGCAGTGAAAACCAATGATTGCGACAAATCTCATCACCAATTGGGCTCGGACAGTAGACTGGTTAGTGGTACCAATAGAGAGGTCGACCGATACTACTGATGTCATATCCGTGACAAACCTCTGCATTTCTTTATGCATTTGACGCGTTGACGAAGGTCCCTAGAACGCTCTCCGGTTTTCCCATTTAGAACTGTCTGTTGAGCAAGCACCTTGTTCTTCGTCGAGCTGCGGTTGCCTGCATTCGCCAGATGAGTCAGAAGGAAGCCAATGAGTTTTGTGAGGCGATCGGAGCTGCCGCTACCGCCACTCCTGGTGCTCTCGTGCAGAAACTAGAGACCGGTCCTGTTCCAGCTGCCGTCGCGAAACCTGCTACCTCCCTTCCTCTGGAGGCCATTCTCTTTAGTCTTCTTGATGTAGAGTCGCACTTCCGAATGCGACGGGATATTGAAGAGAGTCTTCTGAGTCTGCTGCAGTCGCGTGGAACACTGCACCTCTCCGGTTGGATAAGGATTTTGAAGCAACTGCTCCAGGCAAGTAGTCGACTTCTGGTTCTCTACATTTATCTGCTCTCCCCTGTTTTTCGAAAACCCGTAACCTTCAAATCCCTACTCCTTTCCCACTAAAAAGTGAGAACTATCTCTATAAAGTGATCCTAAGACCCTGTCGTCTAAAGATGTGTGACAAAAGTCATGCATACATTGCATTTACTTAATTTTAGAACGCCCATGGGATATGGGGTCCTTCTCTTAATGTTTTTTTATCATAAAACTGTCAGCCCTCCGTCGTCCATTTCTTCGGATCTCAAATTTTGTTGGTAAAACAAATTTTGTCCTTATTGACATCGAAAGTGGAAAACAGGGATAGGAAACATTGACTTTTAGTGAAAGGTCATAACTCCGGTAAATGTATACCTGTAGGATATTTTTTATTCCTGCGCCAACAACGCACTTTCTTGTGTCAGTGTTTTCATCAGATCTCCAACAGTCAAAGGCATTATCTACTTTACTGGCACCGGAAAGCAGCCATTTCGGTAATGAATACACCGTTGTCATCCTTATAAATTGCACAAGACCTTTCGTACGCTTTTATCATGCCTGCCTAAGCTTTAGTCTTACTTTAGATCCTCCCATCACTCCTCATGAGAATGTTCGTTGGGAAGTGTTCCATGGGACAGCCTGCTATTTTACACAAACTCCCTCTGAGGTCCTCATTGATTAACTGTTTGGTGCAGACAGATATACTTAC